TCTCTCTCTCCTCTTTTTTCTCCTCTTCTGTCGTCACGTTGGACTTCACCAAGTGCCTAAAATAAAATACATTATTAAAAAATAGAATCAATGTAAAGGGCAATAACCGGGCCATCTGTGCATCAATTTCAACAAAACTGCTCAAATGAAATTCGAACAAAGGGACGTCAAATTTTTTTTTCAATATGAAGAAAATCAATGTTCCGGTGTTCGAGAATAGTCAAGCTTTTTTTTTTTCTTCTTCTTTTTCTTTTTCAAATTGCAACCAAAATTGAGAACAAATTTATTAAAAACGAAATTGCCATAGACAGGGTGAACAAAAAAGAACCAAATCAAAGTGCGACGTTTTCCTTTGTTTTTTTTCTGTTTGTTTGGGGTTGTTTTTTTACATGTTGAACGGGAGGTCGAGAGAATCGACCTAGAAACATGTCAGATGGCTATTCAAAATTGAAAACAGCGTATTCGAGCTTTTCGTTAGCTAAATCGTCATTGCCACCACTTTGACCTTTCCTGGGTTAAGTTGGTCGTTTTAATTTCATATGTATTTGTTCTTTAATGCATTCATACGAAGTACACGTGATGTTTGGTTTTTAGAAGGTTTTGTATTTGACTCAGTTTTAGTTGAACATTTCAGAATTGGATTTTTCTCGAACAATTCTGTCGATTTAAAAAAAAATAATAATAATGATCAATTTCACATCCCATCGGTTGAATATTTAACTTGTTCGATGTTCTGTCGAAATCGGTGCAGTGGTCACCTCGGTATTGCCCCTTAAATGTGTTCTGTCTTTTTTATTTTGTTTGGTTTAGGTTGTTGTTTTGTTGTTGTTTTTGCTTTGGGTTTGTTTATTTTTTTAGTTTTTTTTTATTCATTTACCTGTATTCATTTTCTATTATATTTTTTTAAATTGTGAGGAGGGTGGTTGTTTTTTACTTTAAGACACCCTCTACTAATATTTTATTCGCAAATCTTATTGTTGAATTTTTTTTCTGTTTCCAGAGAATGCCTGTGTTGACAGAAGCGCTGCCTCAAACTCTGGTAAGAAAGCCCTTCTTACCTCACCACCCCCCACCCCCACCCCCGTCTCTTTCTCCCTTTCTCTTTCTTTCTCTCTCTGTCTCTCTCTCTCTGTCTCTCTTTCTCTCTCTCTCTCCATCCCTCTCTCTCTCTATCTCCAGCTCTCCCTATCTTTCTTTCTCTCTTTCTTTCTTGTTCTCTATCTAGAGAGAGAGAGAGAGGGTAAAACATCTATTGTGCTTTCTCTTTTTCTTTACGTGTGCGCGTTTATGTGAAGTGTATTTGTGTGTGTGTGTGTGTGTGTGTGTGTGTGTGTGTGTGTGTGTGTGTGTG